ACAAAAATATTGAAGAGTAAAAAATGTGTGAACTCAATGAAAGCTAAATTAGTTTCCTTCATAAACATAAATTATAGCATCTATTTTAAATTAGTATTTATAATTATTCATAATGGTAAATATTACCGTCGTTCATTAGATGATAAGGTTCCCTGTTCCAATTTAGCTGAATTGAATGCTAAAACTTTACATGCATCATTTGCAAAATCCAAGTCTCGTACTTCAGATGGAGAAACTGAAATTAAAGCAAATGCTTCTTTATCTTCTTTCATAGGGGCACTTCCAACCTATACATTATATAATTTATAGTAAAACAACAATTTAAATTAAAAAAAAAGTCTTCACCTTAGACATAACGGGTTTTTCTTCATCTTTGTCAATGGGTATTGATGTACTATGAACCCAAGTATTTGTACATAAATGATGTAATCTAACATAAGATGATTGAGGTACTAAGGAATCTCCTCGGCTTAAGGTTGTTGGATCTAGCTCAAAAAGTGAAGCTATCTCATTGGAATGAGGTACTGACACCAAATGATATACAGGGCTTCCATGAACATCTAATTATGATGATAAAATATAATAAGAACTAATTTATTAAATAAATATCAATTTTTATGTATATAAAGAAATAATACAAATAATTAAGTTTATTTAGATCAAGTGTACGAATTCAAAATATGATTTAATATTTAAAATTTGATTTAATAGAAATACCTCTTAATTTTGAACGCATTTGATCCATTGTTTCATCATCATCAATTTCAGCAGCTAAATAATGTCCTGTTGCTAAGTGTTTAAATCTAAATAAGCAGTTCCAGTGACCAGCACCTCCTCGACAAGGATCATGTTGTACAACCTAAATAAAAAAATTGAACAGCTGTCCTATATCGAATAATTCTATTAGATTATGTACCTCTACTTCCCACAATGCTTTGCTACTAGTTGCAGAGGTTGCTGATGTACGACCAGTTGTTCGCAGAAATACATGTTGCTTCTTTTTATACTCATCCATTGTCAAAAATTTTTCCTGTTCAGCATGAAATAAACGTAAAACATCTCCACCTTTCAAAATTTCTTCCTGGTTATCTCTATGTTCCATAAAAAGGGTTATCTTCCATGATGTTCCAGAATTTACAACATTAACCTATTAATTAAAAAATAACTAAAAATGTTTTTAACTGAGAAGTTATTGGTTTTAATATTATGGTGTTTTTGGGCTATCAATTCTTTTACTCATTTAAATTGTTGTTACTTGATTGAGAGCATATAACTGAGGTAAAAAATATAGTAATATTATTGTCACAAAATCAATTTCAATACTTTTATACAATCTTGTTTATTATCTATAAATGTGGCTGTACTATGTTCCAATTTTTTAAGTTAAAGTATAAATAACTATTTAGTGTAATTATTATTTATATTTATCTTAAGAAAATATTGTACACAAATTTATGATAAAAAACATACTTGTATTTTATAATTGTAATTAAAAATTTTTATTTTCCATTTAAGTAAAAGAAAAATTTCTATTACTTCTTAAAAAAAATATGCCTTCCAATATAACTAATGGTACACAATTTTTACATTAACAAATATTGTATATATTGGTTGAAATACATTTAAAATCGAAAAAATTTCCAATTTGGTTAATATATATCTTTAATTGTAGA